CAAAGATTGGCGGGTATTTCGAATTACCCTCCTCGGGCTTCTCCTCTCATGAACTCACTAAGAGATCACGTGAACTCACTAAGAGATCAACAAAACATGAAACTTTTCATTATCAATAATCATCATCCCATAATACAAAACAACTAGCCTATAAATAGGCTCAAGAAGAGAAAAGAAATAAAAGAGTAAAATGTCCTTCGAGCTACAATACTACATGACCACCCATAAGGGTATAAAGGGAAAAACAACAATATAAAATAAACTAGTACAAAAACATATAAATAAATAACTAAAAAAATCGTAGCCGTTGATCTCCGATGTCCTCATTAGGTCGATGGTGGTTGGTGGCAAGCTAGGGACTGCAGTAATGGCTCAAAGTGACTGAGGGCAATAGGCAACCTCTTCCCATGGTAGCTTGCAATATCAAGTGGTGAAGATTTTATAGATGGTGAATTATAAATTTACAAATACATAAAAAATGAACTTGATCTCCGATGTCCTCATTAGGTCGATGGTGGTTGGTGGCAAGCTAGGGACTGCAGTAATGGCTCAAAGTGACTGAGGGCAATAGGCAACCTCTTCCCATGGTAGCTTGCAATATCAAGTGGTGAAGATTTTATAGATGGTGAATTATAAATTTACAAATACATAAAAAATGAACTAGATGGTGAATTCCAAATTTACTAAAGGCTATTTAGTTTGAAGTAAAATAAATAGTATAAATTTTTTGTGTATTTGGAATTCACCCTCTCGTTCACTTTCAGTGTATTTTCAAATACACTAGAACTTCATTGCATGCTGCCGACTGCAGCTACCACCCGCAGCCACCACCTTACACCCCCGCAACCTGCCACGACACCCGCCCACCACCCGCCACTAGTCATGTTTTACACTGCATTCATTTTACTTCAAGCCAAATTAAAAAATATAATTCCTTGTATTTAATTTACACTCATCCAAATAACTCCAAAGTATTTCAAATACATTGCAATTTTTTATAATGTATTCTTTTTTCAGCCAACCAAACAGTGCTAAATTATATTGCATTAAAAATTCAACCTAATAAATACCAAAAATCTCAAAATACATGCAATTGGAATACATCAAAAATCCAATAAACAAAACAGCCCCTACTCTAATCGGATCCAATAGAAAAATTTTGAATTTTGCATATGATGGTAACACTAGGATTCATGCCCTCAATACAAAAAATAAGACCTGTGTTTTCTTTTTATTGTTATGTTCGTGATACTCTACCCAGTTTCCACCTCGATTTGATGCATTAAAAAATGGTGACCAGTAAATTGGCTTTAAGTTTCGAAATTCAATCTCTGTGGTTATGATATTTGCATGCATTTATTCTTATGTTTAGCATACCTCAAGCCACGTTTCAAACACCATTAAACATCCCGTTATTATCAGTAGGTTTAATCAAATAAAATACTAACCCAACAGTAGTTTTTTTCCAAAATAAACTCAATAATATTTCAACGTTAGCTGATGTTTAGCCATAAGTAGGATTTAGTAAATGTTGTAAATTCAAATTTAGTGAATCTTGTAGGCTTCAAATCCTAAAAATTATTTGACATGATAGATATTAAACCTGATATAATCCAAGTTCAAGCGTTTGGCAAACATTTTAAGATTTAGGATTTAACCAAAAGAGAACAAGAAGTACACAAAGAAGTTGTGTAAATCACTTAAATCCCTAGAATTTACTAAATTCGGTATTTATAAAATAAGATTTAAGTATACGATCTAAGGAGGCTAAAAAATTTTTGACAGAATCCTGCAGCCAAACCACCCACTAAGGATTTCTTTTTAATTCTACATAGATTAGACAATCAACAGAATACAAGAAACCTAGGAAACGCAACAATCAACTCAAACCTGATCAATACTATTCGCCATGATCGCCACGATAGATTTCGAGGCAGGGAAACCTTCCGGATCGTAGTGTTTCGGCTCTCCGCGCGAATTCACGCTCGGAACGAACTCCCTGAAAACGGCGAAGGGTCCGCTGAAGGTGGAAGCCTCGACCACCCATGCGTTCACGGAACCGCCAAGCTTCGCTACCAGAATCTCCGCAATGTTCTTCGATTCCGATAGCCTCTCAATAGCCGGGTTCCCGGTACCCTCAACCCGGTCCCCCTTGAAGAATATAGCATTCACGGACGGTACCTGATGAAAAGAATCACAAACTATGAAGGTCTCAAGGGGATGTGTGAAGAAGAGGGCATGCTTCTTACGGCTAGAGTTTTGGAGAACGGACAAAGAAGAAGCGAAACAGCGACTTTGAAGAACGAACCGCCATTGTTAGGGTTCAGGCGGACGTTCACAATTCCCGTCCACCGCTCCATTGGAGCCATGCGGCCATCCTTCACCCAAAGAAGTGGAACTTAAATGGGCTTGGCCTTTTCGGGAATTTTTATTGCCTCCTCTCTTTTCGGGAATTTTTATTGCCTCCTCTCTCTACGTTTGGTATACCTTTATAACGCGACATCTGGCAGCAACTTTACCCATTTTGACCCGACGCTAGCTCATATACTTTTCGATATTTTTTTAAATTATTCGGGTTGTGCCGTCGTAATGTATATGAGAAGGGCGGGAAAATGAAAAAGTACGCGGCTTTTACCTATTGTATTAAAACCTTCTATGTATTAAACATAAGATGTTCTACAGGATATCGTTCTACAGTGTCTACGGTTCCCATAATTTTCATATATCTGACGTAAAGAAATAGTTCAGTATTTTAGGAGATGGAAGGATCGACTGAAGGTTCCTGTTTCGAAGACTTCTTTTTCTGCGAGGAAACTCAAACTTTAAGCTATGACGAAGGTTTTTCCCACTTCGATATTAGCATATGTATGAGTGGAACATTTTGAGGCATAACAGGAAGCCTAAGAAACTGGTTGATATGCAACTGCCGCAATCTAACAACCAAAGGATCTCCAAACCTCTGAACAAGAACATTACAAACTTCTCTGAACGTCGAAAACCTGCATCGGAAATGAATCTTTGGAGTATAACCCTGCATAAAATCAATCGTTAATAATGCTATTAATTAATAAAAATCAATTGCTTATACTGACTAATATTAATGCTCGGTACAGAGCAGTACCGAGCATTACAGAGCATAACTATTCCTAATTCTGCTTGGTAAAGATCAATACCGAGCATTACCGAGCAGCACCGAGCAGTACCGAGCTTTACTTTAAGTAATTCTACTCGGTACAGATCAATACCGAACAGTACCAAACAGTACAACGCATAACAATTAGTAACTTTGCTCGGTACAAATCAATACCGAGCAGTACCGAGCAGTTCCAAGCATAAAAATTAGCAACTTTGCTCGGTACAGATCTAAACCGAGCAGTACCAAGCAGTTCCAGGCTTAACAATTAGCAACTTTGCTCGGTACAGATCAATACCGAGCAGTACCGAGCAGTTCCAAGCATAACAATTAGCAACTTTGCTCAGTACAGATCTAAACCGAGCAGTACCGAGCAGTTCCAAGCTTAACAATTAGCAACTTTGCTCGGTACAGATCAATATCGAGCAGTACCGAGCAGTATCGAGCAGTTAAAAGCATAACATTTAGCAACATTACTCGGTACAGATCAATACCGAGCAGCACCGAGCAGTACCAAGCATAATTATTACTAATTCTGCTCGATACTGCTCAATACCGAGCAGTACCTACCGAGCAGCACGGAGCAGTACCGAGCATAGTAGTTATGCTTGGAACACATCTATACCGAGTTATACCGAGCAATACCGAACAGTACCGCTCGGTATACTAGGATACGCTTCTGCACGGAGCAGTACCTAGCATGGAACAGATCGATACCGAGCTATACCGAGCGGTCCGCTCGGTATACTACTCGGATACGCTTCGTAAACCCTACCATATATATATTGAAGAAGTAACTAACCTGAGGCATCGTAAAAGAAAATATGCATAGCTTGAAACTTCGCAGAAATGGAAGAAGCAGAAGCGCCGGTTGGAGAAGATGAAGTATATCGAAGCGTATGATGACTGAAGTGAAAGACGGTAAGGTTTGTTCAAAAACATAGCCGTTTTTTTCGGGTCCGCGCGATAATATTCGGGTCCGCTGCTCGGGCCATTAGTTTTAAATTTCGCACGTGCCATATACCCAATCATCGCCGGGTCGGGTTTCGGGTAAAGTTGCTGCCAGATGTCGCGTTATGAAGGCATACCGAACGTAGAGATGCGTCAGGTGGGAGGAGGCAATAAAAATTCCCTTTTCGGTTGGGTTTTCCCATTCTTAAAATAGCTAAAAATGCATCGCGGTCCAAATCCTACCAGAAAACTGCTAACGGACGTACAGCTTATTCTAAGTGGGATTTTTTATCCTCAAGAAAAAATTATTACTTGTGAAATCCGACATAACTTTCCATTGAATTTTCAATCATATGAAAATATCTAAAAAAAATTCTCATTTTTTACAAGATGTGTGTAATAGGGCGCGTCCAATCATCGAATGTCTGGACATTCAATCCGGTGACTCCACGTCGCCCAAATACACTGGGTCCCAGTGTATTTGGGTGACGTGGTGACACCGGATTGGTGTCCGGATTCATCCGGACAATGGACGTCGTAATTTGTCGTGTAATAGAGATAAAATTCACTTGTTTTTAAGCTATTGGAATCAGGACAGCATCTGAATTCTGCACGTAATAATTTTTCAATGATTGGACTGCTTTTTAATATTTATTATACCCCACTCTATTATAAATTTATTGATATATAATATTTAAATAATGATTGATATATTATAAAAAATTATCTTGATTGTGCACGAATCTTGAGGCAAATTTAAATTGAAAACTTCCAAAATTAATTTCGGGACCATCCAATCTCCGATTTCAGCAAACTTATAGTCGAATTGAACATCTCGAAAAGATGAACCAAACGACACCAAATTCAATCCAATTTGAGCTCAAATGGGCCCAAATCGAGAGCCCAAAGAAAGTTTGAAAGCTTCAAAGCATAAATTGGACGATCAAATGATTTCCAAATGTAACATGCTTATAGTTGAATTGAGTGGCTCAACAAGCTGAATCCAGCGAGTTCAAGATCATTGAATTCTGGCATCATTCAAAGACTCAAATGCTTGAAAAATTATATACACTTAAGGGAATCAATATCAGCCATCCATCAAAAGCACTCCCAACATTCTTTAATTTTATCCTTATTTATTAGTCATGCTACTACCAAAAAACTTATAAATAGACCCCCATTCTTCACAAGAGGAGATAAGCAAGAAGAAGGGAGAACAGAAGAAGAAGAAGAAGAAGAAAGGAGAAAAAAAGAGGAAGAATGAAGAGACATCTAAGATCTCTCTTGTCACCAAACTGCTCCTCAACCACCGCCTAGCCACCTACTACAAGAAAACCAACTATTTACAATAGCAAAAGCCTCCACAAAATTTGAGAGATCAGTTGAAAATCTTAATTTGCGGCGGATTTGCGATGGATATGGTTCCTATGGTAAAACAGGCATCACAAACATATTTGCGATGGACAAAATCAGTCGCAAATTTTTTTTTTGTGGATTTATGACGGAATAGTCTCAAATGAAATGATGGTTTCATTTTTGTGGTCCGTTGCATATTCCGTCACTAAAATCAATACCAGAATGTCGTATCAATATTTGTGATGGATTTTACACCACAAACCTGTAGTATAACAAAAAAATAGCTCAATCTTGACTATAAGCATGCAAAATCATGTAAATTTTGAAGATTGTTTGATCCTCCAATTAATATCACAATTTATTTGTCTATCTTTCAAATGCTTTGTTTGGGCTTATTATCAAGATGTTCAATTTGATTATAAGTTCGTTGAAATCATATTATAAAATATTCTAAAAATTTTCAACATAACTATTGCATTATGATTTGTGTTGTCAAATTCAATTTCTTAAGATCTATCAAAGCCCAAAAATTTGTTTTAGACTAAGGGTTCGTTTGGGAGGGCTACAACTTTTTATAAAGATCATTATAAAGTTGTTATGGAGAAATTAAATTTTTTTTAAAGCTGCTGGAGAAAGCGTCTTCCTAATATAAAAATTTCTTCAAAATTGTAAAAAAAAATGGCAAAAAAAATTTATGATTTTGTTCTAGAAAACAAAGCTGATAGAAAACTATCTCAAACAATGCCGAAGTTACCTATGAATTGATTTTATGAGTTTGAGGCTTTAAAAATTAAAGTCAAGACAATCTAATCTCTAATTTCAGCAAGCTTATTGTCAAATTAAACATCAAGGAGATGAACCCAACGTCATCAAATTTGATCCAATTGAGCCCAAATGAGTCCAAATTAAAGGTCCAAAGTCTATGTAAGAGCTTCGGAGCATTAATTAAACTTCCAAATGATATTTGAATATAGCATGCTTATAGACAAATCGAGCGGCTCGGCGAAACGAGTCCAACGAGCCCAATATCACTAAATTATGACATCATTAAGGCACTCAGATGCTCAATAAACGCTCTATGATCAAGGGAATCACTACAAACCATCCGATTGAACACTCTCAAAATACTCTTGATCTTCTATATATTTACAAGCCATGCCACTCACAAAAATGATAAATAGCCCCATATTTTTCACATGGAGGGAAAAAGAGGAAGAAAAGGAGTCCAAATCTCCTCCCGAATACTGTCGCCTACCGACTACGGTCTCCTGGACCATCATTACTCGATTACAGTCTTTTGGATCATTATTGCCCGACTATGATATTTTCGACCACCATTGCCCACCGATTACGATCCATCTGACCACCACTACTGATTACGGTCTTTCCGATCTCCATTGCCCGTCGACTATAATGCTTTTGATCATCATCGCTCAACTACAATCTTTCTGACTTCAGTCACCCACTGTCTACGGTCTCTTTGTCCGCCGGCTCCAAACTACGGTCTTTCCGACCATTGTCACCCGACTATGGTCCTTCCGACCACCGTCATTCGACTACAGCCCTTCTAACCTACATCGCTCACCGACTATGATCCTGCCGACCAAACAAATAAGTCAACACTGATTCTTCCAACTCCCACCAAATAATGTACTCTATATGATGTATATTTGCTACATCAAGCTAAGACATTCCCCCCAAGAAAGGGCTTCATTTGTAATTAACTGCAAACACTAGTGGATTCATTTAAAAGAAGTAAGACCCCATGATTTTCTCTTTTTCGGAATTTTCACATAAAAATTTTGGTGTCTTATACGAACGATGCATTCCTACTCATTTATCTATTTATGTGTTGGATGACTAGGACACTAAACTTTATATTTTTTCTAACGTTGTGAATATTCTTGCATTTGGGATATTTTGGAAAGCCATGTTTATCTTACTAAAAGAATTTAGCAATTTACATCTCATGACACACTATTTTTTTTGGACTTTAGCGTTATTAAGACAAATTTACACGCACATTAAATATGAAAGTTTCTAACCCAAATTTTTTTAATTAATAGTAAAAACTCTCAATTAATATATCAATTTGAGCTACAATTCTGACTCCCTAATGTTTTATAACTTTTAAAAAAATAAAATGAAAGCAATTGAACTTAAGGACAGGCACATTCAACAACCGTTGAAATTGAAAAAACCGACTTACTTTTCCCGTGTGACTCTTTTCCTAATGCAATGAATCGTCAATTTATACCCCACAGGTTTCAGTAGCACGTGTGCTTAGACTGGCTAAGTTTAATATTATCCGCATTATTAATTTTATTTTAATCATTTAAAATTTACATTCCGAATCTTAATATTTTATGATTTTTTTAACGATGTTTGAATATTAATTTTATTTTACAAAAATTCCTTTTCACAAATTTTATGTATGTTTTTTTTTTTCTATCTGAATCATTATTTTACTTTAAATTTTTTAATATCAAATTTATTTTCACATCTTTTGGGTCCATTTTTTAAGCTTTTTAACAAGTTTTATTACAGGTGTAAACAAGTCGAGTCGAGTTCGAGTCTTTTTTAGTTTAAATTTGAGCTTGATTAATTCATCGAGTTCGAGCTTGAGCTCTAGCTTTATTCTACGAGTTCGAGTCTGCTCATTTATCATGAAAAAAGAAAATGTTTATGATACAAACAATTATTATAAAAAAAAAAATTAGAAATTAAAAGAAAAAATAATAAATAATAATTTATTATAGAAAATGAGATGTAATTATTAAGTAATTTTTAATAATTTTTACTCAAAACTTTTGGGTGTTAATATATTTTAAATGTATTTTATATTTATATTTTTGAAACGAGCAAATTTGAGAGCTAACAAGTCAAACTCAAACTTGCTTACAAGTTGGCCTATAACCCTAAGTTCAATGCACCTAAATTTATTTCTTTTATTGTATTTTGATTTCGTTTGGGATAGCTTTCTTAATGTTTTCTAAAACAACTTTTTAGTAAATTTTTTTATTCAAAAAATTTTTGTGCTAAAAAATTACTTTATAAAATAATAAAAAAATTATTTCAAATGAAGCCTTTATCTCAAAATAATGCTTATCTTAGCATCACTTTATTGCAATCATATTCCTGATCAATCACATTATATAATAAAAAATACTTA